GCAATCAGTAAACAACAACAGCCGCAGCAGAGAGTGCAGGACGAGACCCAACGAAGATCGATCGCTGTCCTGCCATACATCAAGGGGGTTACTGACAAAATCGGCCGAATATTACGGAAACACGACATATCAACGGCATACAAACCTGACCATACCATCGGAGCAATACTAAGAAACCCAAAACAAAAAATTACTCTGGAAAACCAAGGAGTATACAGTGTAGCATGCGGATCGTGCAGCCTGACGTATGTGGGACAGACCAACAGAAGGATTTCAGCCAGGCTCGAGGAACATCGTTTAGCCATAAGAAACAAACAAACAACATCTGCTTTGTTTCAGCACCAACATCAGACAGGCCATAAAATTGATTTCGGCACTTGCAAACAAATAGCTAATATTCCTGATTTTAGGACTAGGATTATACGAGAGGCCATCGAAATAGAAAAGTCCGGACACCTCAATACGAGAGACGACGCTCTGCATTTACCCAACACGTGGAGAACGATAATCAAACAGCAGAGCGATGCGCAGCAGCCAACGGGGACATCGCAACTACGATCGGGCGAAATTAACAACGCGACAATTCAGGGGGCGGAGCCACCTCCCCCCACGCACAAGCGGCACCGTTACTATCTCCGGCGCAGAGTATAAATACCGCACGCACCGCCGATAACCTCCCAGTGTTCGAAGTGTTTTCGGAGCGCGAGCATTGAAGATGCCAAGTGAGATTTTGGCGAAACGTCTGCAGGATTCCAGTCGGATGCAAGATTTGCAGGATTCCAGTCGGATGCAGGATTCCAGTCGGAGTTCAACGAGCGAACGGATGATATCCCGGAATATAGTGTCATCACATTTTTCCATCCGTGAATCAATACGTGAGAATATCATACACCTTTACGGGAAGGAGATCTTTACAGCCACCAAGTGTTATGAAAAACTAAGACAAAGGAGGGTTATTTCGCTGTGCAACTTGAATTTTCTTAAAAGCTGCCGCAACCAGAACTTGCTGCCAACATTTACAAGGTTGTCTTATCACACACGCACCAGAAAGACACAAGCTATCCTGGACAAAGCTAGCAAGGCCCTACTCCAAGACCAGATCAGGCGGACCCGGTACGAAATTAGTGAGACTGAGCTACAACTTTTCAGACTCCACCTGAAACTGAGCAACAAGATCCATCAGTTGCTGTGGGACCGCATAGAATTATTAACATCATGGCGCACTGAGAAAGACAAGGACATCACGTCAAAAAAACTGAGGAAGAAATTAGAAATCCTTCAGTCAAATTCCAAAAAATCAGGACAAGTGCCAAATACAAACCGAAGCAGTACAGTTCATAATATTTCAGCATACCATCTTTCCGATACAGAAGTCAGCGTACTGAATAAAGGATTTAACTACGCAATAGCTCCAAAAAGAGTACCCGTCGAAGAGATCGTTTCCAACGTCGAAGCAAGTCTCTCCACCATAGACGAACAAGATGCGGAGTTAATTAGGCAAGATGTCGCCAGAGTCTTAAGACAGTCAAAACCACCGCAACCAAACTTAAGCAGAGAAGAAATGCAAGCCTTAAGGAATCTAAACAAAAACGAAAACATTCTAATAATGCCAGCAGACAAAGGAAATGCCACTGTCGTCATGAATATGTCGGATTATAATGCAAAATTGGAGGATATTTTGAACGACCCAATATACAAACTAGTCACCAGAGATCCCACGACATATTTGGAAAAAACAACTAAGTCCAAAATTCTCGATTCATCAATAAACGAGGATACAAAGAAGAAACTTATTCCGAGGGAAAAATCGAGTCGTTGCCCAAAATTCTACGGGCTCCCAAAGATCCATAAGGACGGGGTTCCCCTGCGTCCAATCGTAAGCGCCTTTAACTCACCATTATGCAAGCTGGAAAAACATCTGGCCAGTGCACTTCAGCCTATAGTGGAAAAGGCAGATTCCTATGTTAAAAACTCAGAACATTTCACCCTAAAAAACAAAAGATCAATATGATTGTAGCATTGACTGATCGCATTAAAAAAAAAATTGTCACCATAGTCTGTTAAATAAGAACTTATTGTTATTAAGGAACCTACTAATTAATAATAAATACCCACCATCGTTAATAAATAAAATTCTCTCCTGTAATAGTGCCACTACAGACCTGCCTAATGCTTTACAACCACAGCTTAATGTTAATAATGAGTTGCCTAGTTTTGGCAAACTACAGTATATAGATAGATTGTCCCCGGCTCTGATTAGGATCTTTAAAGATACTAATATAAAAATTGCCAATTACAACTTAAGACCCCTCAAATCTTTCTATTCCAATCTTAAAGACATTACCCCATCGTTACATAAATCAGACGTTGTATATTGCATTAAATGCTCTTGCAATTTAATTTACATTGGTCATACTTCACAGAAGTTAAAAAAACGGCTAACACTTCATAAAAGTGATTGTAAGTTAAAACCAAATATTACTAGTTTAAGTGCTCATGTCAATGATACCGGACATAGTGTCATGTACGATGAAGCGGTAGTATTAAAGAGTGAAAAGAACCTCTTCAAACGTAAGTTTTTAGAGATGTGTTATATTAACTGTTGTAGTAATAGCCTCAACAGAAAGAAGGATGTTGAGGGTCTTAGTAGCATCTACACCTATCTTCTTAAGCAGAGTCGTACTGCGAAGCATAAGCTACCAGAGTTTTTTGATACGGTCAGGTTGTAGTGGGTTGCTAAATTTGTTGCTATTAATGTTTAAAAACAGTTTCCTTTCTTTGTTTCTTTCTCCCCGTCCTAAAGGATTGTTTCTAATTACCCTTAACGTTAACTTCAATAATGTAAACATAGTTATATAAATAGTGTACAATGGGTGCATATTTGAAAGAATTCTGTTTGAAATTCCCTCCCTTGTTTGGTGTTTTACATATGTTATGGTTGGCTGTACAGTTGGTATCATTGACTGGTTTTTTGGTTGTGGCTTTTTTAGGTTATTGCGAATTGTTAATAAGTTCCCGCACATTTAGTTTTCCTTCTCGACAATACGAAGTGTCATTTGTAACAAATCGGCTGTTTTTTTTTTTTCATCTTTTAATATTTTATCAATCCGGATATTTTATTGACCTTAACGTTTTATGTTAGTGGGTTTGTTTTGTAACGTTGTGGTGGATGTTAATATTTTTTACAATTGTAAATTTTTTCCATAAATTTCATCCATCGAGTGTTATGTTGATAGTTAGAGCGGGCGAAACACTTTATTTTATATACCAATGTCATCTCTCTATATGTAGAGGTTGAAAGAAGCGTGTTGTGTAAGTTTTTTTCACTATTTTTTGGTCCTGATGAAGCCTGTATCCATGGGCGAAAGCTAGATATTACAATAAATTGCCACTTTGCTTTGAGCTTCAACATCTTTTATTGCTCCCTTTACGGCGATCCATCGAAGTTGGGGTGATCCCAATAATTAACAGTTTGTTTGTGTGTTACCAGTAGCCCCGTTACTGTCCTTCGCTTCTTATATATATATATATATATATATATATATATATATATATATATATATATATATATATATATATATATATATATATATATATATATATATATATATATATATATATATATGATGACACTATATTCCGGGATATCATCCGTTCGCTCGTTGAACTCCGACTGGAATCCTGCATCCGACTGGAATCCTGCAAATCCTGCATCCGACTGGAATCCCGCAGACGTTTCGCCAAAATCTCACTTGGCATCTTCAATGCTCGCGCTCCGAAAACACTTCGAACACTCACAGTGTTTTCGGAGCGCGAGCATTGAAGATGCCAAGTGAGATTTTGGCGAAACGTCTGCAGGATTCCAGTCGGAAGCAGGATTCCAGTCGGAGTTCAACGAGCGAACGGATGATATCCCGGAATATAGTGTCATATATATATATATATATATATATATATATATATATATATATATATATATATATATATATATATATATATATATATATATATATATATATATATATATATATATATATATATATATATATATATATATATATATATATATATATATATATATATATATATATATATATATATATATATATATATATATATATATATATTATCATATACAGAAAATGCCATCAGTGTTTGATGAGTCGGATGTTTCACATTTTTAGTTTTGAATATAAAACAAACTGCATGAATTGCCCGATTATTACGAATATGAAACTAACCAGTAAGGAAAACGCAAAGGTCAGTTACAAATTTACAATTTTTGCAAAATTATTTTTTTTGGTTTTCGTCAGTTTTGTATACATTTGGTTAGTTTTGCTAAATTTTTTGTTGTTTCTGCCAATATTTTTAAAAACATATTTTTATTTGCCACCTGAATCAATCTTTAAACAAAAAACTAAGCCAAAAAACTAAAACAGAAATTTGTCAACGGTAGTATATTTATCAATAAAAAGTTTAACTCTATCGACAATTTAGCGCTAGAGCTCTCAATAAATAATACTCGCTTTGCAACGCTTCCCAGACCTACACAACGGCACTCGCTACCTCTTCACTTTGATAATAACATTAGCTTGATTTATTTGAGTGAAAATATTTCACTATGTTCTGATACTTTCCAGAAAAATATTTTGTCTCCTAGATGATACATGTTGTTATTACTTACAATTAATGTCTACTTCAATACATATACTATATATACGGACGACACATTCGCATTCTGGTCGCAACCGACAGACAAGAGAACAACGAAAAACGGAGACACAAAGGACAGGACAACAACAAAACGCGGACATCTTGGAATATATTTTTTTATATTGTCTTATAAACATATAACATTGACATAAACAAAAAACGAGGTCCAATGGTGGTAGGTAGGAGCATCATTAGACATACTCTGGACGCCCACCCTTAGTGTGCGGATTAAAACAAAATTACAAACGAGACGGGCACGGCGACACTCATGCTTCCACCTCCTGTACCTTCTCTCCTTTCTTGGACCAGTCTGGTTTCTTCTGCAAAATGTAAAAGAGAAAAAAACAAATCAGTCAGAGCTTAATAGTCGGGTTTATTGAAACCAGCCCTTCGTGATTCAATCATACTGCTAGGGTAGTTTCAATAAACTTTTCAAGAGGGTGCATTTTTGCTATAGAGGGCTGTGCACGAAATAATACAGGGCGGGTGATAAAACTAGACCTTCTTTAAGGGCAAATGTGAACTGTGTGCGAACAAAGCAGAGATGTTAACGGAGAGATTTATATTACAACTAATACGTTAAGGGGTTGCTTGCGTTAAATTTATAGGCACGTAAAGCTGGTTTAGCTCACCTTTATTCCGTGGAATATTAGGAAAAAAAATGCATAGAAAATTATGCAAAAAAAGGCTAAAAAAAAGTGCGACAAAAACATGGAATGAAATCGAAATTCATCCGTAAAATAAATGTATTTGTTTTTTTTTTCGTGTGCTAGACAACTCCACAGTATAATGTTTTAAAAAATCCAGTCAAAACTGGGAAGGGGGGCGTGAAAAAAATTATTTCTTCTGCCACTCAGCTTTCTCTTGCTTCGGCTTCTGCAAAATCAAGGCGTCCATTTAGAATCTAGACAGTGGGCAACTATCTAAAAGACTTAAAGTTTCCCTAAACTATAGGAAGTACGAAAACGTGGCAATGCTTCGGCGCTATGTTTTTTTCGAATCGCCGTTATTCACATGGTAAAGAAAGCTTTATGTATGGACGTCACGCGACAAAATCGTTAATTACCTCTTTGTCTTCCTCCTCGAGGGTGAACTCTTTCTTCTTGACGACCTTGAGCTGGTTACGGAAGTTGAATTCGGCCGCCTTCTTCTGTAGCTTGGCGAATTTGTTCTCGTACTTGGACACCTTCTTCAGGGTGGGCTTGACGCTGCGCAAAAAAGGGCAGGAGAGTTAAAAGGGTTCGCAGTTTGAAGAAATCAACTTACAATTTGCCTCGGAGGTCGTTCACTTGGCTGTTCAAGTCGGCGATCTAAATAAAGCATGTCGTCAGTGAGGTCCGTTTGGGGGCGGTGGGTGGGTGAAAGTTTTGACGGAAAACGCCTCGCCGAATTTTAAAGAAAACGCGACAATTCGACGAAACGCTTTATATCTTCGAAATCCGAGGTGGATTAACAACTAAATAAATGAGGTTAGATTCGGCATTTATCGTCTCCAATTCTGTTAATAGTTGCATTTCTTTTAAAATTTGTTAGCACGAAATCAACCTCGGTATCCGACGTCTCTTTGCGGGCGAGCTGGCGAATTCGACGTCGATCTTTTTTTTTTCTTTAAAAAAATCACCATCGCGGTCACAATCTGACGTCTTATTCGCGCAACACCCCCTCAGCTCGAAAGTTGCGCGGAAAGCAGCGGTGAAACGGCGTGTCAAAACGGTGAACTAAGCGGAAGAAGAAAATGTGGGGTTAGTAACACCTGGAAACGTTACACGAAGCGGGGTTTACCGTGCGCCTGTGCGATCGATGAAAAATATACAAAATAAACCTACTGGGCGTGTGGAAGGGGGGGCGTTTCTACCACAAAAATCGTATACACAATATACAGGTACCGAGAAACGTCAAAAAAGGTAACGTCAGTTGTCTCCCTCCGAGGCTGTTGCCGGTCGCACGCAGCTGTTATCTAGACACGGGTTGGGAGTAACTGTGGTTGGAGGGCTGGAGGAGGAACGGGATAGAGCATGGCACTTTTTGGTACCGGCGTGGGTTCCGTTTTTTACCGCGACTCTTTCTCTCGCTCGAAATGGCGATTTGGAACGGGGGCGGGGGTCGTCAATTTTTTTTCGCGCTGTTGCCAAACGTCGCGCGTGCATGAAATGCCATGCCGTATCCGCGTGCGAGGGAAGGGGGTGGGGTCGGGCAGCAGCTAAAATTTGCGCGTGTGGCGGGGGTAGAAGCGGACACCGGTTATTGGCGACGACGGGAGAGTGGGGGTATTACGGCGAGACACTTCATGTGAACGTTACGGACATACGGAGACATTTTTATATTATTTACAGGGTGTGACGTTTTGAACGCGTCCGCGAGTGAAACTAACCACCTGGGACTTGAGTTAAGACACCAAAGAAAAGAAAACCGTTAGGACGGATGAGAATTCCGGCCGCCGCAATTGCAGTTGCGCTTTTGATCCGATCGTAGTTGGCCCCGGGCGCCCGGAAGGGGTTCTCGTCGAAATTCGAAATATGTAACTAAAAATTGTCGCCGGTTTCCGCCATATTCTCCACCATTGTTTAACCAAAATTAATGTTGTTATTACTTAAATTGAAGTTACGAGTGGCTAATGAACAATAATGGAAAAAGTGGCACGCCACTGCTTACTTTTAAAAACAGTGCTGAATTGGGATTTTGGTGAAAATCGATAATTGTTTTTATAAAACTTTTAATCTTGCCCTAATCAGTAAACACCTAAATATTTTCTCAAATATAACCCAATCACCTTGAGTACTTATTAGGATTTTTAATAATAGGTATTCTGTTTCTTCAAGTATCAAGTTAACTTAACAATCTATTGAGTAAAGTTAAAGTTTCTCACAAGATATCGAATTTGGCAAGAATCCCCTCAGCGTGGCGCGCCGCTAGGGCGCCGCGAGCTCGATCGGTATAGTCGTGCGATCGCAAGTGGGGGTAACCACGCTCATCACGTTATACTACTGACGCGCGAGCTCGCGGTTACAATTAATTCCCGTCAATGATAATGATGCACATTATGCGTACGCCATGTCTATATGTGGTGGTAATATCGTATATGTTATCGTGGTACCTCGTAGTCTCGCTTACGCACTTCGCGTTCCAAATCCCACTTCTGCTCTTCGCAAATATAGATGCGGTCATAGTAGTCTTTAATTATTTTCTTAAGGATCCCTGAAATCGGAAACGGAACCAGCAATCAATTAAAAGGTCGTCGGTCGTCGAGTCTCCCTTTGAGAAGAGTGGGTGGAGTCTAGCCTGCGCTATGGAGACTGCGGCGGATGTTTTTTCAGGTTTAGGTTAGATTTAGATGATCTCGTGAAGGTGGGGGATTAGGTGGCGGGAGAACGTGGGGCGTTGCTTGGGTACACAAATCGGATAACATATACGATTGCGTAGTAACACTACAACTAAAAAAAACAACTCACAAATGTACATTAAGAAGAGAAACGAGAATCCCAGTCGTGTACCCAAACAGCGTTCATGGGGGTATTTAGGAGAGGGGCAGATAATTATTCTACACATCGGCACGGGTCGTTCAGCGAAAAATAATATATACAAGGCAGGTCAAAGTGAAACACTAACAAGGCCATTCCGTGTAAATCAGCGCCCTATGAAATAAATCGAAAAAAAAAATGTAACGTAAAAATAAACAAAATAAATGAGGCCTGTCTATCGTGTATATGGTATATATAAACAGAAAGCGTTTTGGTACCTCGCCATCTTTTATGCGTTCAATAACTTCTAAATCATATTTATCCCCTTCAAGTTTAACAATTCTTTGGTAATAGGACTGACAAACGGTTTGGATCTCGGCTAAAATAAACATAACATAACGGTTACCACACTAGAGCCATTCGGGTACTTTTCGGGGTTATCGGTTCGATATTTGAGATTCCATTGAGTACCGACGACATAAATTACACCTAAGAAGAATATTATCATAACTTTATTTCTTAATTTGTCATTTCTAAATAACTGCGTTTTATTTTTACCTATGCGTGAATAAAAAATAGATCCATGTGGTAGATATAAGCTTTTATCATAAATGATTTTGGAAAATCACTTTTATGTTATAAAACTCAATAGGAAATAGTTCCAAACTATACAAGGTGAGTTGAAAAGATACGTCAACACGTTTGTGTGTTGTTGGGCCATTTTTCTATTTCGTGGAAGGTGTCTATACACTTTATTTAAGCAATTTTTTAAATTATTTCTCTGAATCTTGTTACTCTTGTATTTTTTTAAGGAACTGCACCTTTTATTAGTTTTCCATGTTACCGTGATAATATCGGCACGTCCGGCGGGAAATATATTTTTCATAACCTCCAACTTAAAAGAAAAAAAAAAGCCTCAGAGCGTTTCCCCCGAAAAGCACCGCCACTGATTACACATTCGTAAGTGAGTAGGGGGTACGTGTAGGGTATATCGCAGCCGTTTTGGGCAATCCGCGCATTAAAAAAAAACTGTGGCGCCGCCGCTAGCATCGCGCCGGCAGCGACGACAAAAGGCTGGTGCAAAAAAGCTGTCTACGCGTATACAGGTGTTGGTTATTTCACGTAAGTCTACGCTGCTGGTGCTGATAACGTGCCCTATCGGGCGCCACTGTCTAACCTGAAAGTCCCGGAACTCCACCTCCTTCTCTAGATCGTATTTCTTATTTTCAAGTTCGGAGATGCGTCTATAGTATTGTTCACAGACTTGTTTACACGTAGCTAGAAGGTAGAAGCGCGTTTAAAAAATGAACCGCGCCACCAATGACGTCGCGAGCGGATCATACCATAGAAATATATATACAGAACCACAGGTCGAAAGATAACAGTTAGACCGCATCGCGCAAGTGTACCAACATTAATCAAAAAACAGCGTGCATCCTCAAAAATTCAAAACCCAAAAAGCAAAAAAAAAACTCGGCCAAGAATGCAGGAGAGAAAAAACGCGAGTCAGTAAAAGAGTTCTTTTAGTTCCAGCGGCCCAGCCGTGCAAGAGAGAATATTTATATATTATATGTGTATGCACAGTGTAGAGCACACAAAGTAGTGCCCTCAAAATCTAACCTCGTAGTCTTTCTTTTTAACTTGGTGTTCCAATTCCCATTTGGCGTCTTCTAGACCGCCAATTCTGCCGTAGTATTGTTTCAGAATGCTCTTTAGCTGTTCTGTATCGGAAATAATCGTTTTTTTTTCTCGTGTGGTTTGTGTTGGTGGTCAGTCTACGCGTTTCCGCATTCAGTTCTGTTTTTTTGGTTTTTAATGACAGAAGAGAGAGAGAGAGAGAGCAAGAGTAAGAACGTTTTAGGTTGATGATCTCAGGGCTTTTATTGGTGGATACTAATTGATTTTTATTTTATGTGTTAAAGTAGTTTAAGGTAGCCAGATAAGAATGGAAACTATATAGCTATTAGTAAAAATTTTATAACTGAATCTTGACGGTCCTAGAAATTTGAAAAAAAGGAATTGCACAGGTCTACAGTGATTTTTATGTTTGCTTGTTTGTATATTTTTGGTGGCCCTTTTTCCTAAAAAACGCTATATTTTTGTTCTACACGTCATTTTTTTATAGCGTTCTATATTTTAAAAATTTTATGTTATTAATATACTATGACATGAATATGTGTATTCCATGTTAGGCACGATAATTAAATGAATTGATTTCTATTAAATTAAATATGATTTGGGAACTCTGGATAATAATAGATTTCTCTTATGCGCAATTTGGTTGTATTGGTCGTCGTGCTGTGTTGGCGGCTGTTGTCGTCGTTGAAAAAGAAAAAATAAGAAACAAATTGTGTATCCCAATCTTGACTCTGATATTCGACCAGGACCTCATGGACCAGATCTTACCGAGACCGACCGCCCCAAAAGAACAAGAACACGTCGTATCGTCAGAATCAGAGGAATCTAATTCCGACCCAGATATCTCAGATTTCACACCAGATTTCAGAGAGCCGAAGTGTTTAACCAGAGCGAATTAAATGATTTAATTAGAGATTTGCACCTTCCAAAGGATGAATCCGAATTGTTAGCGTCCAGACTTCGTGACAAGCATTTATTTGCACCAAGCTTTTACCGTGATAGCGAAAAACATTTATGTCAATATTTTATTCAGGAAGAACCTGCAACAATATTCCTGACTTAGTTAAAAAGAAAAGGAAATGCACCTTATATAAAAGATGAATTTCGCCTGACTCAAGTAAGTGTAGTTAACTGATCTGTTGCACATTCGGTATATTTAAAAGAAACGTATGAAAATTTAGGACTTCTTTTGAAGAAAATAAACTACCAAGAACATCAGTGGGTACTTTGTGCATGATCCTAGGACAAGAGGCGGGTTATACAAAATTTTCATGCTTTATTTTGGGCAAGAGATAGACATTGGACTCAAATAGAATGGCCCTCTAGAACAAGCCTTACACCTGGTAGCAAGCAAAAATGTATTAAGACTTGTACTTGACCCCAAAAAAGGTTTATTGCCTCGTCTTCATATCATACTTGGCTTGATGAAGCAGTTTATTAAAGCCCTAGACAAGAATGGACTGTGTTTCAAATAATTGTGCCAGAAATGTCAAGCCATATCGGACGCCAATATAAAAGAAGGTAATTTTGTTGGGCTACAGATAAAAACATTATGCAAAAACAAGGATTTTCAAAACACAATGACCAATGTCGAGAAAAACGCATGCGTTTCATTTAACGAAGTAATTGGTAAGTTTCTTGGAAACTGTAAGGACGAAAACTACGGAAGTATTGTATATGTTACAACACTTTCATCGTTTAGGTTGTACTATGAGTTTGAAAATGCATTTCCTGTTTTCACAAATGAGCTATTTTCCTGAAAATCTTGGAGCAGTTAGCGACGAACAGGGAGAGAGGTTTCGCCAGGGCATAAAGGAAATGGGACTGTAGATGGAGCATAATGATGATGGCGCACTACTGTTGGATGTTATAGCCCTTAAACACAACTCAGGTTTCTGGCAAAAAGACGAAGATTTCAATCACAAAAGTCTGTGTAAAGTTTTTTTTTACCAGGATTCTACTTTTTTACTGAATAAAAAATAAATTATTTTAGAAATATCGTTTTTTTCCCTTAATGTTTGCAAAAAAAAACTTAAGTGATACAAATAAATGCATAGAATTTTTTAAATCAGCCTACCAAAATTATATAAAATCAGTTTTCAAAATAAAAACGTTTGTCAAAAAGTTTAAATTTGTAGACCTGTATTATCAAGTAAATCTGCTAAGACGATGCTACAAGTTAGGGGACGTGGGTGTTATTTTGAATTTTAAAACTCGGTTTCCAAAAAAAAAAAATTATGTTAACCATATCTCCAAAACGGCGTCTTTTAATAAAGTTGGAGTAATTAAAAAGAGCTTTTCCCAGGATACCAATCGTGCTATGAGTAACGCGATTGGGAAAAAAGAATAAATGCAACGACATGAGCTTTTTTGTCAATAGATAGTCAAATAAGGGCCTAATAACCCTGTACGAAACCGCATCTCAATATCTTTATCCTAATGTACAATATGAATAAAAGAATCCTCAAAAGAAAGTTGAATTTGGGAAAAAATTTCCATCCGAATTGTTATTGATTTCTATTTATCATATATCTTGTCATATATCATATTTAAGTAATTTAAACTAATTTCAATTAGAATTATAAAACAATTTTTTTTATGAAAAACCAACCAAAACTAAATATCTGAAAACAATTAAGCATTTGTTGGGGGGGGGGGGGCGGGGCAGAGATAGGTTGGATGGTTGGTGCGCTCCGAAGGCATTATAGAAGAAGTAATAAACGTAAATAATGACATTTTATTTTGATTTAAATATTAAACATTTCAAATCCTAAATAAAAAATTAGCATTATAGCAGCCTAGGAAAAACCCTTTTTAATGACTCCCAATTAAACAAAAAATATTTGAATTTGTCTTGGCTTTAAAATAGTACAACTTTAACTATGGTTAACATTAGAAATTTTTGTAGAAACCGAGTTTTAAAATTCAGCATAACAATGACGTCCCCTTGTGGATATTTCAGAAACTAGAAAATAGTTTCTGAAATATCCAGATTTCTAGGACCATCTGTTTACTTACTTGGACACCCGGTATTTTTTTGTGGTATACTTACTCGGCAGTTTTCAGAGAAAAGTTACTTTAAGTTTAAGATGGCGGTTCGGTCCCTTGGGAACCGGCATGGAAAGCTGGAAATATTTTCCTCAGTCTTCTTAAGGTCACTTTAGTAATAACACTCTTTACCCGAAATCTCGATAACGAATAGGTTACATTTTCATCTGGCCAGCCTGTAGAAGGATAAGAGGTAATAGTTTGGTGTTCGTTGGACGAATCACTTCGACAGTCGTACCCAACGCACAGTAAAATTCAAAAAACCGCGCTGCCCAAATGCGGAAACGATTAGATTCGACCTAAGATGCGCCTGCGCAGTGTCGAAATGTCGCGACGGCAATTCTAACCTTACCTTCATTAGCGTCGTCGATCAATTTCGGTTTACCGCAGCGTTCTTCGATGATGCGCCTCCTTTCCGCCGCTTTTCTCTCCTGTTCCTTCTTCAGTTCCTCAGCGGCTTTCTTTCTCAGCAGCAGCTGCGGGCGACGAAAATTTAGGCTTAAGTGGGGAAAAAGCGAGCGTGGGTGAGTGGAGACTCACCCTCAGTTTCTTCTTCCTCTCGGGTGTCATGAAACCTTTCTTGGCCTTCTTCGCCTTGGAGGCCTCCTCCATACGGGCCCTGACCTCGGCCCTTTTTCTCTCGATTTCAGCTTGTTTTCTCTTCTTTTCCTGTCGTTTTCGAATTAAGGTTAGTACGATGGCAGCGGTGCGCGCTCATTTTCGGAAACAACTGTTTAACTCATACAGTTGCGAAAGAAATTAGCAAATACGTATACAAGCCATTGACGTACGGGTAATCTGTTAACGATTTAAAAACTCTTAATTAATTAATTATTAATTGCGGCACGCCAATGCCCTGATTGGCGTGCCAAGTTTCCTAATGGCGCATTTAAATTAAACATTCAGATTGGTCCGGTTAAACAGTTGTTTCAACGAATAGCTTCGTCACCGACGTGACGTCACCGCCGGTCGTTTGGTTTTACGTGCCTCCTCCAACTTCTTTTTCTGAAACGGAAATAAGAAAATTAGTACAGTGCGCGGGGTGCCATTTTTCAATTTAGTCTCGCTCGAACACTCTGTGTATTGTAAAATTGCGTTAGGAATGACGTTATGCCCAATGCTGTCACAACAGTCGTGATGAAAGTATGGAAAAAGCGGATTGCATTTATTTTTCTCAAAAGTGAGGTTATGATGATGACTGACGGTTTGACATGTTAGTCTATCATCGCCAGCGTTTAGCTTTGGTTAATAACGTAGGCGACAAAAGTTATTTAGTCGATGTTAAAGAATTCAAACTCCTGTCGCATGTAATGTTACCGTTAATATTAGAGCAGATGGATCAATCAAACTGAAAACAGTTAAGGCTTTTCGTATTTTCCGATGCACGTAAAATCACAGCACCGGCCTTAACTGTCTGTTTACTTACTCCCCGTTCATGCAACTACGCACTACGACCACCCGTAAGGGTGGTTAAGGTATACTTAAGCGGAAACAGAAGCATCTACGTTCCAACAAAGCCATTGTTCTACTTTTGTCTCGACAAAGTCTTATACTTTCGGGGGCCTACAATTTTTTTTCGGCATCTGACTCGACAGCGATATTTACCTTTCAACAATTGTTTTTACGAGCCAGATACTGCCACTGATACTGTTGATGGTACGCCACATGAAAAAAAAAACAGTCGTTGATGCGCGCGTCGACTCTGACAGCTCGTCGCAAGAAGGGGCCTACGTACCTAACCTCGTCGTCCGCCATTTTGCTTGATCCGCTTGTCCTGAAAATACCACGTCATTTGTTAAGCATTTTCTTGGTTTTGATTGGTCAGTTTCATAACGACGCAGGGATTTTAGTTAACACGGGGTATGTGATAAAAATTAATTGAGTTTTTTCATTGGAGAATGTAGAGGAATGAAATTTGTGCGGTTTTGACGCTTGTCATATGCTCCAACCAACTTAATAGAATTCTTTCCTTTTTCACAATAGGCGAAAGCGAATGCAACCAAATTTTTGATCTTATTCCCATGGAATATATGAAAAACCAATCTAATGGAATCCTGCCCAAATAAGGAAAGGTGACTTTTTGTACGGAGTGACAAAACAGTGTCATCAAAATAAAGAAAAAGTTTGTCGTCAATTTCACATTAAATATTCGTAATAAAAAGCTTACAAATTATCCTGGTAAACCGATAAATTTATTATTTATTGACCAATGAAATGAGAAAACTAATACATGTATACGGTGAAGTAAATGGGAAATAACATATAAGTGAATAATTCAAATAACAGAAATTGCAGTAAATATTTTTTAATGTTATATAGGGATTGAGCAGATATATTTAATATACATTCCGACCATTTTCTTCTATTTCTGTGTCCCTGTCAACGGTTCAGAAGTTTTACACCTGATTACACACCTTTTATTACTGTATTTCTGCCCCCCACCTCCCTGTACGCGGAATTCTCATCCGACATTATCTCTGGCACCCTTTTCAAAGTCTCCGTTATAGCGAAAATATCACGCAACAGTTATATTTAAATCAGCTATCCTTAACAGATTTTTGTTTCGGTCTAAAATCTCTTCGAGTTAATTTTAGAACGCGGGTTTGGACACCCGCCAACATTCGACACCGAAGACGATAGTTCGCCTAATTTGGACGCACTTGGTACGGTGTTAAGTTTCCAGCACTTTTTTTTGTTGTTAAAGCGAGGGCGACAGTTTATTGAATAAACAATGCGATTGAGATGGTTGGAGGTAGAATTTAAAAGTAAAGACGAAAAACCAGGGTTTGCGATCCCATCTTTTTGGGTAACACAATAACCGAGCAGATTCTCCCTCTTGGGAGTGATACCCCACTTATATATTTATTGTGATGGTGATGGTAGCGAGAAACACTAGCTACGGGTGCCACTGCAGACCACTTGTACCACGCTTAATTTCACTCCCCCAGGCATCGCACTTCACCACCAAGATGGTCCCGCCCTCCCTGGTTTTATATAACGCCCTGAACGTACCTGTTGTGTAGATGGAAACTATTTGAGCAGCCACTTAGGGTAACCTGTGCTGACTGTCGAGAAAATCACCGGCGTACGAACGCCTGTCCCCTCTAACCTAAAAATAGCTCCCCCCCTCTACGTTCGGCAGTCCCGGACGCCCAGAAATAGTTTTAGTTCATTGTAACCTAACCTCACCGGGCGAATTGGGATTCCTTATAATTGTGTTCGGGAAACGAGACGCGCGTTTGCAAAAACAAGTCGCATCGAGGTTATATTTTGGTGAAATTTGAGATTTTCTCACGAGGAAGAAGCCAATGCAATTACGAAACCATCGCTTGATATATTTTAACTTATCAAATACGTTTTTGCAAATTTCAGTTTATTTATGTGCTAATTCAATTTCAAAACATTAATTAAACATTAACTTGACCTAATCGAAAGCCTCAATCTCTCTTCCTGGTTAAAGTATGATGTTGGCCATCGCGTAAATCAACTTCACCATCTGCAAAAACACGCTCAGACAGAAACTCCCAGGGAGGTAAAGAGTGTCTCAAAGTATATCGTCTTTTCGCAAAACAACTAATAATTTATTCATAGGCTGGGGACAAGACAGGGGCCAATCAGGTAGCCGTAGACGACGTGTTGGCTGAAATTAGTACTAGTGTTAAATAAGCCGTTTTACCCTGCGTTTCGAAAAAGCTTCATAAAAAATGTAAATAATAATGTATCTGTCGAGAGTTGGAAAATGCAGTAGGTACTCCACATTTTAAAAAATGAAAATTCTTACATTCGCATACAAAATAATGTAATGCCCATCGTAATTAATCGAAATCCTGACCGACTCTGAGAAATAAACAATTGAATTAAAAAATACTTATTCAGGTAATTAATTATAATTTGTATCTATTTATTGTCATCATATTTTCTGTTAATACTATTACGATTTTGTTGTAAATAAATAACTCTATCAGATGATTGATTGCCGTCGGCAAGTTATTTCAATAATTTCTGCCAATAGCCAAGGTGATATACTTTGAGACAAAGTATACACCCGCTGCACGTACAGCTAATTGAAAGGCCCGATCCACGTGAGCGTTGAGTATCCGTATGGGAGCGATCCTGGCCGATTTAGCTAGCAGGAGAGCGTACGCTTTGCGATTGGTGACGTTCCAAGTGTACCAATGGGCTTCGTAGACGGCATCGTACAATTCATTTTGCTGAAAACCCAATCAAGTCACCAAATCTCTCAACCCAACCTACCCAATTGTGTCGAGTACCGCGTTCATGTACGACTGGCCCGAATTGAAAAATCCTTCCTGAATCTGGAGAAAGATGCAGATCGACAGTATCCCTAACATCACGTTCTTGCCTCCCTACAATATATGTTTACTAATCGTGCTTCAGAGATTAAGTACCGGGTACCAAAATGGCGCAGCTGGAACCCAGCACCACAGTATTGCCAAAAACAGCGAACGTGGTGAGAGTCAAGTGTAGCTTCAGGTACTTTTCGAGTGACTCGTGGCTCCTACAACGCACGCAGTTCAAACACAATACATAAAACTTTAACTTATACTTTCTCCAGAAGCTGCTTGTGCCTATTTATGGCATACGTAAGTTTCTGCCACATCGCGTTCTGATAACGTCGGTTTCTGATCGGATTTTGTTCCCCCTGGTCCGTTTTAAACCCTACTCGTACAAATGGTACTACTTGTAAGGCTCCCATAAGTCATACAAACCTCTGATGTACTCGGCGAGAAGAGTCACTTGGACCTGCAGCTGCCGGAAGAAGTAAATAAAAGTGTATGGACACGCGATGGTCGGCACCATGGAAAGATTAGCCCAGACTATCACGGAAACCGTGAAGGAGATTTCCAAATTAGGGAAGTAGCTCGCCACCATTAAGATAGAGAAGTTTCCTTCCCTGAACTGGTCAATAAAAACTTGCTGCCACGTCCACGAGAATACAGCCAGCAGTACCGTAAATTTAAAATGGAAGTTGGTCTTGGAGAGGCTATCGAGGATTTTCGGTTTCACGCGAGGCCCCGCCGCGTCCAGAGCCCAGCAAATTTTGTTTTGAGCGGCTGTAAGGCCTTCGACATCCATAGTTAGCAGACAGGCGGTGGTGATTATCCACTACCAGATAATTTTGATGGAAAATTTGTTTTGATTGATGTATATACTTACGTGGACGTAAATCACGAGAAAGGGGATGTAGTCGGTGAGAAGGTCGGGTTGGAATTGGGGAGTGGAAATTAGGAAATGGCCCTGCAACATCACCAGAAACGATCCCACCGCCAAGAGGGCCCACAGGACGACCCTGACGTACTTGTTGGTGAGTAAAGTTACTACGAGAAAGTGCACGAAAGGCATTGCAGTAGCTTTTCTCGACATGGTCTATGTTGTGATATCGGGAACAATAATTTAGTTAATAAACTAGACTTAGTCGGTTTCTATTTATTTGATATTCTGCAAAGAGGGTCGGACCTTGCAACATTATTTTAGATGAGGTTTCGTTCCTAATTTTGTTTGTTCGTCATTTTTAGTAATGGGTGGATCGAGTTATTAATTGTATCAAATTAATTCTTAACGGGTTCACAAATTAAAGACATAGGCGTGCTTTTCTTTATCAAAATATAAATAAAATTCCTTTTTTCCAAAAACCAAATTACAATTATTATAGGAAAAGTCGTCATACGGTAATACTACTTGTTACTCTTTGGCTTTCATTTTATTGTCTATTTAATTTTTTAATTTTAATTATAGGCTTTTCTTTTCCTTTGGGTTTACTTATTACAGTGGTGGTCGTTTAGCGTATTTATTATTTCATTTCATATACAATATGGCGTCCTTATCTTTAAGTTGTCTATACTTTTCTATTTTTCGTTTTAGGGAAACTGAACAGGAACGCGACCCAGCGAAGATAGTCTGCCTTTATAGAAGCAGTGGTTAGGTCGGATTTTGAGTATCGCCGATATTTGATTTTTGATTGGCTCTCTTTTAATATGTCCGAGAAGTCTAATCGTATGTAGCCTATTCGCCATTAACCCCGCCCCTCGTTTCTACTTTCTTTTTGCTTGATCTCTGACATACGTATCTGTCTTATAGAGGGTGCCTGCGCAAGGAAGTATGTGCGGCAGAACAGGAACTGTTTTGCTCGATGAGATCGCTATCTCTCGCGCGCGGTTGCACGGTCCGATACCGACCAATTTGTTACAAAAACTAAACAAACCACGCTAAGTTCAAATTCACCCGTGAAACTCAATAACTGTGGAAAAGAGGTAAGTCCCTCTTTATGACGCGATATCCCTCTTTCGTGATTGATTGAATTAATTGATTGAGTTGAATATATTCAGTCCATTTAACGCATCCATAGCACCTGGAAACACGGTGAACTATTTTGATCAGTTCGATCGCCGCATTTTGAATTTTATTTTTTAAATTTTTAATGCAAACACTAGTAGCGTTAAAATATTAAAATTTTGAAATAGATATGTTGGAAGAAATAGGTGTACTTACCTCAACAATTCAGATACGCAAAAAAATCTTATTATTACTTTTGCATTATTTGAAAAATAATCCGAGATTATATTAATTATATTTTTTATTCAACCTGCAATTTTACATTTTGTCATTGCGGCAGATAAACTCAAGCAAATAATCTTCAGAATTAAAAATTAAAGGAAATTTTAGACGCAGCATTGATGGTTAAATACCTTAATTTCCAAGTTCCCTTTAAAGAGTTGAAAAATATCCAAATATAAAAAAAATAACCTTTTTTCTTCTTCTTCATGTGCCTATTCGTTTCGAATATTGGCGATCATTCTGGCTATGATGATAGCTTAGGTATTCAAGTTTTCTTCTCTTTATAGTGCTTATCATTTCCTTTTCCTTGTTCATTCTCTCCAGCTCTGACTCATATGATACCCTGTCCACCCATGAGATCCAAAGAATTCTTCGGGACAGCCATATTTCAAATGCTTCCAGCCTTTTTTGTGTTGCCTCGGTAAGTGTCCACGACACAACACCGTAGAGGAGTGTAGAGAAAACGTAGCATCTTAAGGGTCTGATTTTAATGTCCAGGTCTAGATTGTGGCTTTTAAAAGGCTTTGGCATTTTGATAAAGGCTTGCCTTGCTTTCTCTATTCTGCACTTAATCTCTTGAGAGTGATCCCATTGTTAATTAATTATCGTTCCCAGATAAGTGAACGTAGGAACCCGTTCCACTGATCTCTCTCTAATGAACAGTTGACAATTTTGGATATTTTGTTTAGTTATTATCATAAACTTGGTTTTACTCATGTTCATGCTTAGGCCATATTGGTCACTGGCGTCGTTTATCCTGTTCATTAACTCTTGCAAGCCATTCAAGCTATCAGCGAATACAGCAGTGTCGTCTGCATATCGAATGTCGTTAATATGTTCTCCGTTCAGTAGAATTCCATTGTCGATATTTTCCGAGGCTATAGCGAATATTTCCTCCGAGTACAAGTTGAAGATCAAAGGAGAAAAAATACATCCCTGTCTATCTGTATCAGACTTTATGACAGCTGTTTGATTCCAATATAAGTTTCCTATGATTCTAATATCCTTGTTATCCATTCCAGTATTGTTCAATACTTGCATCATCCTCTTGTGCTGTACGTATACGTCACAGTTCACGTCACGGCATCGCTGGAACAGCACTTGAAGACTTATAAAGTGAAGAAACTGCGTTTCCGCTACTCTTTCTTCGCATATCCTGTATATTCTTCGTTATCTTAAGAAACAGTTTCAGCGAGTGACTCATCAACCTGATTAATCTAGTTCCCACACGTTTTGGCTCCCCGTTTTTGCTATCTTTTCTTCTATCGTGGAATAGATTTTTTATATATTTTTTCCCAGTTTCTTTAATGTCTTTTTGGTCACAAATCAATTCTCCGCTTTCGTTGAATAGCTTACCTACGGTTTTTTTCTTATACATTTCAGTTATTTCTTTAACCTTTTGTGTACGTTGAATTCATCAAATTTACTTTGACATTTTCCTTCTATTTCTTTTTGTTTCGCTTCTCTGATCTTTGTTTGTATTAGTCTGTTGAGTTGTTGGTATTTTGTAATGTCGTTCTTGTTTTTTCTTCTTTCTTCCATAAGTTGAACGATTTATTCTATTATCCAAGATTTTCCGTTGTCATTGTCGTTTTTGAGTAGTTCTTTTCTGACATTTTCCACCGTTCTGTTTAGTGCCTGGATTTGCTGATTCGGGTCGTTAAAAACTTCCTTTATCTGGGTGCACTTCTCATGAAGGATTTGTGTTACCTGATTTCGTATGTTATTGTCTTTGAGTTTTTTGATGTCGTATTTAATAGGGCATCGAGTTTTTACTTTCTTTAGTTTAGTTCTATATTCTCCTATTACTGAGTTGTGTTCGGATTGTATATTGGCGCCGGGATATGATTTACCAGGATGTAATCGATCTGATTTCTTGTGATGATGTCCTTTCCTTTATCTTTGGGTAATTTCCACGTACCCACAAGCGCATAATAGTAACCACCGCGTTGCTATAAATCGACATTCTCGAGGTGGACCTTCAACTCGTGATTTTTCTTACAGATTATTCACAATCCCCAAATTTTAAATGTACAAAAATTCTAATTTTTAGTGACACGCTTTGCCTTCCTTGAGATTTAGTTACGCAGTTGCCCGCTTCGGACCTAAATTATCCCATTCCATTTGACAATCAATCTAGCAAAAATGTATAAAAATGATCGCGTCTTAACACAAAATTTTTGGAATGCCATTGGAAACGCGCCAAAGGTCAGTTTCGATGATTCTTAGCTTTGAGAAACTTAATCGGCATCTTTACCTTGGTTTACAAACAGATTTCTGGAACTTTATTTTAGCTCAAAAAATGTTGAAATAACTTACCTTTTATGGTTAATGCCGCCCTAGTACCTCGAGTACGGCAGTTTCTACAAAACTGATAACAATTACTATAAAACGCCCATAAGGTCAAAACTCATAATAATTTAATTCTTAAAATTAGTGCTCATTCTGCACATCGAGTGCTTATAATTTGACTACATGCCCTGATTTCTTTGACAACCCGTCAACAATGGTACGTAAATTGTACTTCAACCGTACATAGAACTTTTCAATGCAACAGTACTTTTTATTGTCGTTACCATATTTGCTACATTGCTGTAACTTTTCTATAAAATTGATTAATTTTTAGAAGAACGCATCATGAATCTCTGAAATCCGAACATAATTGGCAACGCCGAGCTAAGAAATTGCTATTGTTGCAGAACAGTCTGTGCCCTCTGCCATTGTTGTTCTCAATTTTGGTGTCAATATCTCTGTACCCATACTCACAAACTTGTATAATTTGTGCTTTCAATACTTTGTTCTTTCACGAGATTACAGCGAATGTGGCAAATATGAGGACCTAATAGGATCTTAGGGAAAAAGTGACGTCTATATATTTAACATTTAACGAACTGGAAAATAGACTTACACAAATATTTACATGTGAATTTACTAAAGATAATTCTCTACATTTTTAGGTACATTTAAATAGCTACGAAGGATGTTTGAATAATATGTTTTAGTGTGAATTACAGGGAATATAAGAAAGCAATTAAGCAACAAGTTTAATTTTTACTAGAACAAGCATAACAATAATCCCTTGTAGATAACTGTCTATAGGAGGTGCTTCATGAACATTTTTTCACATAGATGTTGCATGTGCGATATCTAGCGTCTCAAAGTTATTTTTGAGTTTATGAAAACAAACGCTTTTGTCGATTTACCAAAAAAATGCCTTATATACAAAATAGACGTAGAAATTGCATCGTATCTACAGGGCTTGAAGAACAAAAACGCTGAATTAATTACAGAATTATACTGACGCCGACGTGAGTGCTGCAAGTCTGCACTGCTTTTCCAGACCTTAACTCCTTTTCTGCCTGAAAATTTAATAGGATTTCGACATATCGACAATGTATCGGCAGCCATGTTGCTTGTTGAAACCCGCAAGGTCTTATGGGTCCTACGTCAGAATTTGTGATTAGAGCTACCATTACTTAAAAATGAAATTTTAAATATCACGCATGTTGAATGGACCTTCTCAAAAATTTTATACATAGTTGCCTCATGAGTTTCTGCATTGTCAGCATAGGCATATCTGTCTAGTAGCTACATGGTGGTTACTGCCAATATAGTTTAGTCCATGTAGATAAAGCCGTGGTTCAACGTTATATTAACAGTTATCCGACGATAAACAAAAACACACCCGATTCAAAATCACAGCTCTAAACAAAACAATTTTAATAATTCAGGTACATTACACACACCAGCAAGTAAGACAAAATTAGGATTTATAAATATAAGGTTGTTCGAAAAGTCATTTCGTTTTTTCCCGTCAGAGCACTTAATTACGTTTTTTCGAAACCAACTTCACACTTAAGCCGCATAACCATTATATGTCTTGAGAGCTGATATTGCAAGGCTTGTGTGTGAAAAAGTTCTATTAATTCTACGCAGTAGTTTTTGGTTGGTGCCCTTTTAAATATGGAGAGCAATAAGCAGCATTTTCGTCATATTTTACTTTTTTACTTCAGAAAAGGTAAAAATGCTGTCCAAGCGAGAAAAAAATTGACGCATGTGTATGGAGAAGGCGTGTTAACAGTACGCCAGTGCCAGAACTGGTTTGCAAAATTTCGATCCGGCAATTTTGATGTCGAAGATGCACCACGGTCTGGAAGGCCGGTCGAAGCTGACAAAGATGCGATAAAGGCATTAGTTGATGCAAGTCGGCGAATAACCACACGAGAGATCGGTGAGAGATTAAATTTGTCGAATTCGACTGTTTATGGCCATTTGAAAGGCATGGGCTTAACCTCGAAGCTCGATGTGTGGGTGCCCATGTCCTTACGGAGCGAAATTTGTGTCGTCGCGTTGACGTGTGTGATTCGCTCCTCAAACGTCAAGAAAATGATCCATTTTTGAAGGGGATTATTACTGGGGACGAAAAATGGGTTGTATACAACAATGTTAAACGCAAAAGGTCATGGAGCAGAAAAGATGAACCGGCTCAAAGCGTGTCAAAAGCCAACATTCACCAAAAAAAGGTAATGCTCTCCGTTTGGTGGGATGTCAAAGGAATCGTTTTTTTTTAGCTTTTTCCGGACAATACAACGATTAATTCAGAAATCTATTGTCATCAACTGGACAAATTGAATGATTCACTTAAAGAGAAGAGGCCCGAATTAATCAACAGGAAGGGTGTAGTGTTCCACCAGGATAATGCGAGACCTCACACAAGTTTGGTCACTCGCCAAAAACTTTTACAGCTTGAATGGGACGTACTGCAACATCCACCATATTCTCCAGATCTGGCGCCTTCCGACTACTATTTGTTCCGGTCCCTGCAAAATTTTTTGGATGGCAAAACCTTTACCTCAAATGAAGATGTCAAAAACCACCTGAACCAGTTTTTTGCCAGCAAGAACCAAAACTTTTATGAGAGGGAAATTATGTTACTGCCAGAAAGATGGCAAAAGGTGTTGGACCAGAATGGCCAATATATAATTTAATAAAATGTTTATTCATTATACGAAAACTGTCTTTCATGTTCCCCAAAAAAAACGAAATGACTTTCCGAACAACCCAATATGTTAATACTCCTCTGCAATCAGACCGAGTTTACCTTTTCCGAGAATAATGCAGTGATTTGTAATATGTGGACCGGTAGCTGTTGATGTATTTCTTAGTGCTGATGTTTTCCTACATTTCCTACATTTTAATGGGATATACTAAAAGCGCTGATGGGCCGGTTACTTCTAACACCCTTATGTGAAATTTCAAATCAAAGTATTAATGATTCACTTATCAAACTCTGGGAAATTGAGAATAATCCTAAAACAAAAATTATCCTGTCACCGCCTGACGAGACTTCCAAGCATTGTTGAAAGCTAAGGTAAGGTAAGCATTTATTAATTTCTCTGAACGACAACGTATACACAAAATATAATTAAGAAATGTATATATTGATGACCAAACCCATTTAAACATTATTTTGTATTTTCACTATTTTCATTTAACAAAAAAAAATTAATGTGTTTTTAAGGCAATTGTTTTGAGGTGTGCCATATGATCGCTATTTATTTCAAATAACTTATTTAGGTACTTTATACCCATATAGTTTGGATCAAGGTATAATCTTAAAAAGGTAGGTGGTATAGGCGTTTATTCCTAATCGTTTCGCATCTTTTAATGATATTTTTGTTAGTTTGTTAGAGACAATTAAAAATCAATATAAGATATTTCTTTTTTAATTATTCTCTACAAGAGTGTGACCTGCTTATGCCTCATGATCTTGTGACTTTTTTGGGGAATAAATATTTTTCCAAAATCTCCTCAGCTTTTCCAAAACATTAAGAGATAGAAGACTGTATTAGACCAAAATATATTAATTTTAAAATATCTACAGAGACTGTGTCTCTTAAATTTTGTAATAGAAAACAATGCGAGCTCAATTTTCCTGCCAGATTGTTATTGCACAATTTTAGATTACAAGAAGTCGCCTTTTGTTACCACATTTTAAAAATGTTTCGTTGAATCTTATTAGCTCCGCATTTCCACATCTTGCGGAGATTTCCACGAATCCAACCTGTTCAAGAGTTTCGTTTAGAAACCGTTGAAACGACGAAAAACATAAGTACCCATACGCCGCTCATAATTTCCTTGATGATTTTGGAAAAGGGTGTAACTCCGATGTTCGCAATCTCTTCAGAAGAAATAATCGATTTTAAAGAACGCTATCATACATACATAATAATAGTAAAAAATGTTGAGCATTTACCAGACATAGATACAAATCCCTCAGCTTTCTCTTTAGACTGAAAATGTTGTGTCTTAGAGAGCAACTAAATTCTAATTATTTTTGTTATTCGGTGTCGTCTTTGAACGTTTAAAACGTTTCAACTCAAGGATTCTGGAAGCTCGGACTTGCTGTGGATACCGACGCGCTCATTGAAATTACCCGCCTATGAGAACATTATAAATATGAGTTACCCATTATAAAATATTTTGATTTACCTCGATTTATTGATTGAGTTTATTCAAAATAGTTTTGGTTAAAAAAATTGACCATATATATATCCAAGACTTTCTTGTCTTCTTCTTGTATCTTGTCAGGTCTTTGACGTTGGCGAGTTATTCTATGTCTTCAGCGATTCTATACGTTCTGCACTGCATATTGCGGTCCATTATTCAACCACGAGACCTGATCCTTGAAATTAATAAACTTATGACACTGAACAGTTGTCGAGAGTTCACGTACGGCGTTTGATATATTCAGACAGCAACACAAACGAGTTATTTCATGCTTTTGAATGTTGTACGAGCTACTTCAACTCTACATTTTATTTCCTGATCTGCGTTACGTTGTTCAGTCATGCATCACCCATGCTACTTAAAGTAAGGTAACCACAAAAGACTGTTTCAAATTGCTTAAATAATACAAAAACTAGTAAGACAAAGACCCATAACACGGTTTTTTTATGAACAAAACTGTACGTTAATGATTCTTTCTTTGATTTCAGGTACCCATTCACGTTTCAATATATTACTGTCAATTTCACTCAAAACCAAGGCCGACTGAACTAATGGAAAGCAGAAGATTTGTTAATTTCCTGGGAGCTTGAAATTAAGAAGCCACAATGAAAATATTTCCTAAAATCCTTAATAATTATATCAAGTTGGTATCAAGTAAACTCGATTTTTTTTTCATAGTTGCTTCGCATGTTTCTATATTATCGGCTTAGATAGGACCTACATAACTCCAGTAGCTATATCCTTACACAGAAGAAAACCAGAACATCATAACGTGAAATTGCTTAACTCAAGAGCTATTTATTTGATTATATATATTACGTAAAAGTTATTAACAAAATGCATTTTCATGATTATGGACTAAGATTTCTCGTCAATGAATAAATAACTGCTTCTGTGAGAATTCCCGCAAATTCATGTTTTATCCATAACATTTTGTTCACACTGCAATCACGTAAGAGGAATTTTGTTCATATTAACGCCTTTTTTCCATTTCCCTTTGTAAAATGCCCAATTATACACCGTGGTATGCGCACCTCGTCAGTTTTCTTTTTCACCTATCCGATCCACTTCGGCAAATTCCGGAATATTACGTACGGGTTTGGGAGCAATCGGATGTTTGCGGATATATTACCGCACGGCTTGAATTTTGATGTTTCTCAATTCTGACGGTCATGTCAGTGAATGTATTCTTGTTGTTTTGCAAAAATGGACCCAAAAACGAACGGTCGTATGCAACACGTTTGGTGAACTTTTTAAGTCACTCGTTTATTAAGCGCTCGCTCCGCTCGTGACTCAAATACACACTACACAATACACACTTGTTTGTTAATATATTAATTGTCAATTCAGTGGCAGAAAAGCGTCTACCTATGGTTGGCTACCAAGTAACGTTGCTTAAACCACATTTATGTTTAACGCCCTTTCTTCCAATGCAGTGTTGATCGAGCTCGAAAGATATTGGAAACCCTGGGACTGTCACATAGAATGTCTATTCACTATCGATTTTAACCCCGTAATCCTGGCTTATTTGAAAACCATGTCCGGAAATAAGTTGAACAACAGTGCAGCAACAGTTTGATGTCTTTTGAGCCACACTTTGAAGTCGTTCCTGAGATGGTGATCTGGATGGTACCCAATTTGGATGCAATAATTTGCCCAAAACAATTCCTTGAAACTAATTCTTGACGAATTTTACGATTTCCTTTTTATAAAGATGCCGGCTCCATTCCTGTGTGTCGCTGAAGTCATTGTTGTAGTATAATATACATTTATTTTTCCAAGGATACTTATTTAGTTAAAAATAGTACAAAATGGTCGAAAGTAATGTAAAAATTAAATTTATTATTTATTAAGTATTATTACTAAGAGTCGTATGTATGAAAGTCGCTATCACGTGTAAAAATACCAGTTTGATTTTAAATGAAATAAAATAACTCTAGAAAATTTAAATGTCTCAGAAAAAATTGCACTCTTCAGCGACAGATTGAAAATGTGTTTTTAACAAAAAAATCGGTATTTTAAAATACCGCATTTAACGTAATTTACCAAATCAACGCCTTGTTCATTTAAAGTAAAATCGAATGGGAAATTCTTATTTAGTTTGCTGTATTCCCGAATAATCCATACTCTAATCCCAAGCTCCGAACTAATAGCCGGATCGTTAAAACAGAATGGAATACATGCCTCTGGCGTGAATGACGTCCGTGGGACGTCATCGCGAGCTCCTAAGTAGGTCAAATAGGGTGCATTGCCCTGGTTTCATTCTGTAATTCTAGCCAATGGGCTCTCGTTGCGGCTGGAACGTTTTGGGTAATAATAGCCCCAATGAGATGCGTGGGTCCATATATGGTTTGAAAAAACCTCTATAAGATTTATTGAACTTAATACGTTGGCCATTTTTTGTTAGTAAGGCACGTCTTCACTGACGAGCTGTCGAAATGTCATTTACATGCAACATTAAAAAAAAATCTACAATGTGGCGTAAAGACTTTATTTTATTCGGATCTTGTAGTATGGATCATGTAGCTTGTCATTTAAAGTGTAGTGAAAAAGGTCACCGAAAACCGAAAAATCCAATACGGTGTCGATAAGAAAAATTAAAATTGATGGTGGTAAAAGAGAAACGAAATTCCGTGGGAAATTTTGGACTTTTTGATCAAAAAGGAGAGCTCGACAAGCTCCAGTTAGAATATGTTTGTAAATTTCTTCCGAAATCTAAAATAAGTCCGTGAAAAAATAATGTCGGAAGTATTTTTAGTATTACCGGAAATAACTTCAAGTTAAACTAACTTGTATTTATGTGAGTGGACTCTCGGTATATACTATAGTAGGTATATATTGGGGACGAGCAATAGTATAAAAAATAAATAGTTAAAAGCGGATTTAAATTTTTAATTTACATATATTAAGTTTATGCAGCCCTGTATCTCAACAAGCGTTTCCGTTAAAACCCGTCCGCTTTTTCGTTTTTATTTTCACACGTTGTCAACCGGTAGAAAAATGTCTGTCCAACAATTATGCCAAACCAGCGCCTGACGCGTGGTCCGTCATTAAGTCTAAAACGCACTAAATTTAGACCACAAATTGGCCAGAGACCAAAACAAACAATCCTTGCGTACGAATCAATTATCGAAAATATATTGTTGTTTACATTGTTGCAAACGACACTATCGTCTAAAAAGTCAGTCCTTATCGATAATTTGTAGATCAAGGTGTGAGTGCTTATTATGCTCTCATTTAAATAATTTATATACTTTTTAAATCCCCGTTTTGACTCGGAACTAAGTAAAATATTACTTGACTAAAACTCCCCTTTAGGGGTTTATCCTTAAAATAAATTATTGAAAAAGAAGTTGGACTAACTGTGTCACGCCAATAAAAGTTATTTATCTATACGAAGATTGTGAATAATTTACATATTTATTGAACTAGAGACTCAATGACACGTTCCAAAATTGTATACTTAACCTATTTTGTTGGCAAAGGGCAAGAATGATTGTAAAGTTTTAAAACTTATTCAATAAATAGTAGTTTATATTATCTTTGTCTATTTGTTTAATTACAATTTATTAATAATTTAATATTTTTAATTCTCACCGATCTTTTTTCCAGAATAAGTAAAGAAAAAATAATTGATTTTAGAAAATACTTTTTTGAAATTGATATTAGTTTAAAGCTTTATAAATTAATCATGGATAAAGATTCTTAAAATATTTAATTTTGTAAGTCATTTGACACTAACGTTTTTGTATGTACGCATGCGCATTTATCAACGCGGACATCAACGTCCGTCTGTAGGGGCCATAATAGGAGTGGGCAGGCAGAGGGAAGAAAACGTGCATTTCGTACGATGTTAACTATCAGAACTATACTAGTGACAAGTGCAGGCTACCGAAAGAGATAAATTAAAATATACTAACGACTGATGAAAATAAAAATACGAAAAGAGAAACGAAATCCTCTCTCGAAAGAATGCGAAAAGGGAATAAAAACAAGACAATGTGGGAGATAAATGCAAAAGATTTTCGAAGCTGCCGTGCGATGAAGTGGGGCCCAGTTCAAATAGTATTAAGCAATTGTTAAGATTGTCTTTCTCTCAGTTTTTTCTTCTAAAGTCCATCCTTAAAGTTTTTGTGCCATAATTCAATACAAGTGTATCACAAAGGTAATACTTTGCCTTTGATGAAACTCCGTTTTTAAGGTGGTAATAATAGATTATGCGACAAGTTTGATAAATGGAATTTAAGTCACGAGTTTTGTTTGAGTATAAGCGGAGCGTACCCGAGCAAGTGCTTAATAAACGACTCAAGAAGTTTATCAAACATGTTTTTCGGTACATTTTTGCTGGCAATATTTTTTTGGTAAATATTTTTTTAAGACGTAAGTAAGCAAAAATTTTGGGCATAATAACAGATAAGCAACTAAATTTTGAGGCACATAATAAAATGAAAGCAGATCATTTTGTTATATGCCTGAAAACTTAGTTTCTTATTGTTTTTGCTCCCTTCTTTAATGGAACTATCTTCACACGGACCATTAGAAATTCATACGCTGCAAGTTATATTCCGAAAAAATGTATAGCTTTTTGTAAAAATTCATAATAGGCGAGCTTTGCATCAACATTCTGTGATCCAGCGTGTCGGTTTCCTTCCTTCTGCGCTTTCTTTTATTTCGTTTATAATTTTTAACACGTTGGTGTGCTAAAATATTTCCTAAAATCAAAGCAATCTGGAACCACCTGCATTTTCTCGAAAAAAAAGCCCATTGCTAGTAAATTAATTTTTCTATTTGTTCCGATAATATAGGTAATTGCATAGAAAATAACTTGAATCGCTTTTTGTTGAATATTATTGGTGTATTGTAAAATAATAAAAACATAAAATCACCTTTGTTTTAAGCCCAGTGGAAAGTAAGCTGTAACTGTGTAACGTATGGTCCACCTAGAAGTATATCGTCTTGATTATTGACGGCAATAAAACACTTCAGTCGGTATTGTAGGACAGATCATCAGGGATGAACTTTTATGTTTATTTAGATATAATAAAATCATATTAGTGCTAATACTCGTAGGAGAGCATTAACAATTTACATTAAATTTACATTAAATTAAATTAAATTAAAATATATTTTTCCATGTTATTATTAACAAAGAGAACTTTATTTTATTTAGATATTACCTAAGAACATTTATATTGATGAATTTTTATTAAACATAGGTCGCCGATGCAGCTAAGGTATATATTTAAGATGTTAATCAAAATAATTTAGGACAGTCTGGTATGACATTAACTGATTTAGAAATGTTTGATGACCATAAGTTACTAACCTACTAGCCATTTTGCCTGACCGAATACTTTTTTAAGTAACGGCCATCTTTTTTTCATAAATTAATGAAAACAGCGTATGTACATTGCATAACTCCCACCACTATTATTATTATGCATAAAAAAAAGAGTACTGCAAGCTTAAAGTTTTTCAGAAACGCCTGCGAAAACTGCCTTACCTCAAATTTAAAAAAATTCTAAATGTTTCTTTCGCGTTTCGTATAGTCCTGAGCGCGGTCATTTTGGAAAAACCTAAAACACAGAAAACAAAATCTTTTTCCTTGCTCGTTATATCGTCCGTGACGGCGACTACGAGGACGCGAGTCCGACACAGAAACCTGTACTCAAGCGTTTTGCTTCCGCAATCGACCGATGGGTGTCGTTCCCTCGTCTCTTATTGACTGCTCGGCAGCGATGGACCACAGACATTAAATGTTTTCTGCTTTCAATTCCGTCGAACATGCGGGGGGTGTGTAGGTTCCGGCCCGCTCCCGTCGCGACCTTTTCGCGTGAGCGCGGGGCGGCTTCTGAGAAATTGCATTAAACGTTTTTCTCGGCTTAAAATAGAAGTTGACGATGCACCCCCGCCTGGTTTTATTTCCGTTTTCGCGAGGGAGCGGCCTATTTTTAGAGGCCGCTTTTGTACCGTCTTATTATTAACTAGCCGGAAGATTGGTTTCAGCCGAAAATACGACAAAGCGAACTGATTTGAATCGGTATAAAATAAAAATGTTTAATATATGAATTGATTATAACTCCATTTTTAGGGACAACCTAACTCGAAAATTTCACTTTTCTTCATCCGTAATGAGTGGAGGGTCACAACAAGATTATGGTTTACACATTTATCTAGAAAAAAAAAACGCATAGAACATTTTGGCTAGTTAGTGTTATATTGCAATTAAGTTGCAATCTCCTTAGCTTTGCTGCGTGATGATTTTGATGGGAAAACCATGGCACGCGTTTTCTGTATTTGCTTTTTGGAATTTTACTGCTTATGATTTTGCCAGTGACTTTTAATCTTCCAGAATTGGCTTTGTTTTAACGGGATTCTGTGGATAAGTATTCCACAAAGGATGTCAATTGCCAGTATACGAGGTACGATTTTATGGAAACAGGCGTCACTAGAAATTTAAAAAAAAGTAAATCGGCAAGAGAAAACGCTGGAAATTATTTTCTAGTTTCCGAAATGACCACGGGGTGTATTTATAATCTTGAATTTTAAAAATCGGTTTCTACAAAAAATTTCTAATATCAACTATGGTTAAAGTGAGTTCCATTTTTAGGGTGCGACAAATTTAAATGATTTTTATTAAGTGTTGTATGTTCTGTCTCTGCAAGGAAAGTGGTGGGGTGTTCGAACGTTTCCCAACATAAATGTCCATATCACCAAAAACTCTTAACGCGTTTAAATAAACTATTAATTATTGTGCTATGAGTGACGCAATTGCGATTGATTATCTCGTCAGCAGATGACGTTTTCTGACAAAAAAAAATCTGAAAGAGGAATAAATGCAACAATACGACTTCGAATAGTCAAATAAGGGCCGAATAAGCTAGTTCAAACCGCGATTCGATTTATTTATCCTAAAAATTAATAAAACCTTATTAATTACGTATTACTTTTTTCACAATACCTTGGAAGGGCTCACCGTAGCTGAGATAACTATGTTTTGATATCCTTGCCTGTTTTCAATTAATTTGTTATTATCATTATTATATTCATTAGTAATTGGATTTAGTAAACTATAACTATAAACTAATAAATTGTTCACTAACTAACCAATTTTATTAAATTTGCGTTATTTAGGTCATTATTCGTTCCAAACCTGTCGATTTCTTCTAGGCAATGAGATAAGATAAGTTTAAAAACGATATGTTTAAACACATTTTTGACAAACAAGTAATTGACAAGTATCACAAATATCGACATGAAAGATGCGTTTGGTTAGATAAAAACTAAATTTGTTTTCATGGCAATCTTAATAATAATAAATGAATTATTTATGGAGATTTTTTTATTTTACTACTTAAATACGGCTATAGTTAATTAAATTAGTTCGTTAGGGAGTGAGACAGTAATTTGGTGCCCTTTGAAGAGATTGTAAAAAGAGTAATAAAGATTTTACATTACATTTTATTTTGATTTCAATTAGTATTCGGCATCCTAAGCAATAAATTCGGGTTATTAGCGTTTTATTTGGTTCTGTTACGATGCAGAGAACAGCATGAAACAACAATCATTTGAATTTGTCTGAGTTCAAAGACAGAACTCATTTCAAGCGAGAATTATTATAAATTTTAGTGGAAATCCAGTTTTATAATTTAATTTAACAATGACGCCCCCAGAAACTCGAAAATAATTTCGAGAATGTTATCTTGTCCGATTTAGTTTTTTTTTCAAACTCCTAATACCGTCCGTTTCTCTAAAACCTTACCTCAGTGCTCCTACTGGGACACCCGGTATATGATGATCGATTTTGTTTGACACATTTTGTTGCATTTTCTTTCCACCGTTCTGTTGTTGTTTTTGTTTAGGTACTGTTATTACTTATAACGAAAAGTATCTAATGTATTTTTCGCATAACTGGCGCAAATACCGTCTTACAAATACGAACGACAGACAGAACTACCACTAACGTAACTTTAATAGCACCCTTTTATTTATTTTATGATTATGTAAAAAATAAATTATTAAATCTATCTCGAATTGTTTATTAAAAAAAAAGATGGCGGTCATCAATTGTTTATCGCGGCGAAATTCGTCACCCCCTCCTGCGCCCATAAAAGTAATACACCTAATCTACCTCCGCCCCCCTGGAGTTTTTCCGAGACGAATGAATGGATATCCGGGCGTAGCTCCAACCGGGTCCGGTCCTGGAGACCAGATCGGAGGCAGCAATTCATCTAAAAAGCCAGAATGAATCCCGTGCAGCAACGGCCTCGAACCCGCACCTAACCGGGGCATCGCACCCTCGCCGCTGACCCAATTTAACCCGCTTCGCAGCCACCGCGGTGACGTCATCGGCTCTGCCGTATCGCTTGTCCCCACGCCCCGCGAGCGCCGCAATATGGGACGACTTCATTCTGAAGCGCTCTGCGGAAATTGTTCCGGGACGACCGGATACCGGAAAAAAACATCGCGCAGCAGTCCTCTCTTTTGTCCATTGAAGCGCAACGGTATGTCGCTGTAAAATGCATTGTCAAATACAGCGTCGCACAGTGGTCCTCTCTTTTACCCATTGAAGCACAACGGTATGCGGATGCAAAATGCATTGTCAAATACAACGTAGCACAATGGGATATTAAATTTTGATCGGAAATTGTTTTCTAAATATGTCTCCTAAAAACGGATTAAATTAAAAGGAGATAATACATTCAGTGACAATTTAATATTTTGACCGATGAACAGAACATTACACGCGGTTAGTCAATCCCGCAAAAGCGAATTATTTAAATTGTCAACTTTGCAATTTGTTTTGAAATTTTGTTCACTTGATCCAATAATTATATGAATAATAATGCCAAGTTTATAGTCTTGGTGCCATAAGTCTGAAGTTTCTTATTTCAAATTATCTTCCATTGTCTTAAACTAAATAATATTAACTTTTTAATTGACTGACTGTAATAAAAAAAGTATTCATGCCATAGTTTCTGAGATACGACTGTTACGGAACTTTTGACCTGCGCACAAAGCTATTACTTTAATTGCAACAAAATATTATAGAAGATGTTATAACGTGAATAATAAAGCGAGAGAAAATATTATTAAACTAAATATAGGCAATAATAACATATATAAACTACAGTTTTATTTGAATGAAGAAATTTATTTTGTTTTTGTGAATTATAATTTAAACAGACCATGAAAATTTGCTGGAAATTAATTTTAAGTGCTTACAATGGCCGCTAGAGAGCGCAACTTCTATATCGAATAAGAAAATTTGATTTTTACAAAATTTTGTCTATGTAACTATTATGAACAATATCATCATATTCTTCTTTTCTTTAAACGCGGTATTATTGGCGCGCTTGATTATGATTATTAAATATGGGAAGGAAACGATTAAATAGTGCTTTTGAAAGTTTCGTTTTGTAAGACGCAGATTGATTTAAAATAATAAAAGCAAGTCGGCTTAAATGAAAAGGAACCTCAACGAATACTTAGCGAAGCCCTAAATATTCAAATTGTGGCCCATCAGGCTCGACACACGACTGCAATTTTTGTCTGGTTGACATTACGGCTGCTATCATTTCCCTCCTAGGGGTACGGCGACTGGTGTCTAGTATAAGTCGGATCATATATATTTCACCCCCCGCTCCCTGCTCATCTCGTAGGAAACGTATCGTCAAGAAATTGACGAACATTAACCGCAAAATGTGCAGGACATTCGTCGTGTTGGAATAACATACTTCTACGAATATCCAGAGGCACATCTTCAAGAAGAATTGGTAGTTCGTTAATAAAAAATTTAAATAATTTGGACCAGTAGATCAATATATAAATACCAATTAATTATTGCCGCACCATTCAGTTACACTCCGTTGTCCCTGATGTTGCACTTTCCGCATTCAGTGGGGATTGCCCCGTGATCAGTAGTTACTTCACGTCACGTCACTTCAATAACGTAAGGTAGCATGTCGATTGTGAGAGATCTGTCAAAATGGGCCGATTCGTACAAAGTCCGTTAAAAAAAATTAATTTAATATTGACCCTCCAGAGAAAAGTCGTACTATCTGATTGCATTTTTTTGGAAATATTCGATAGAAGCAAAAAAGAAAAGACCGACGAATAAGACACAGTTCAAAAGGACGCAAATCGTTTATATGATGAATTACGGAGTCCAGCAATTGATTCACTGCTCTTTGGATATGAAAGGATGTCGTTTTTTACATTCGGCAAGTTTTCACGGTACTTATTAAACATTCTATAAAGTTTTGGGACATATTGAAGAAACGGCAACTGATAAAATCTTGCGAGTCGGCGACAAAAATCAAATATTTTGATTTGCATAATCGCCTCGATTTCCGCGTCAATTGCGCGACATCGCCATTATTTGATAAATAGGCGTCGCCTGCATCGCTCATGTTGCGTGTTTTGGTCGCCCACGTACGACGAGAGCGTTAAGGACTGTTCAGAGTAGGAGCGACGTGGGTCGCGTCGCGATTGGTATTTCAGATTGGGATATTAAAGCGATTAAACAAAAAAAGTTGGAATTAACCCAATAAATAGAAAGGGAAGGGTTGTTTGGTGAATTCCATCACTTACGT